TTCAGGGGTTTTTGAGCAAACGTCGATAAGAGGTCTAATTTTAACAAATGCCAAAAAAACAATATAAATTTTCTCAAACTTTGAAGAATTTTTAGAATTAAACGATATGTCGTAGGGCCGTAATATTTTGTATGATCTATAAGACTATGGTATCTAGTAGTAAAAAATTTTTTTCGACGAATTTTTATGATTTTTTTCATGATAGATATCATCTACCAAAATCGGCCCGGCCGATCTTTACCAAAAACTAATCAGCACGATTCTCAACCAATATCTTTCTAACGGTTTTTGAATTTTCAGAATCGATTCAGAATTGCAGGCTAAAACGTGGACGAAAATTTTTTCACTTTTCTGCTATTTAGAAAGAAACGGCTTGGCTGACTGTTGCGCAAAATTGATAAACGCTAGTTCTCATTGAGATACATCGAATGGCTCTTAAATTTTTGAAATCGGTCCAGCCGTTTTGAGAAAAACGTCGATTTACGGCAAAAAATCTGTTCACACGCACACACACTTTTTCCAAATTTGGTCTCATTCGATTCAGAATGGCTTGAAACGTCGAGAAAATATAAAATTAGGGAATTGGATTTTTTGATGAAAACATAAACTTCTCCTTCGGGAAGTTAAAAAAAAACAGCAAAAAATGCATTTCTGAAATGATGGATGGTTGAGAGTTTTACTGAAGATAGTCAGATAGTTGTTTGTTTAATATGTGTTATTTGTTGTGATATACTTGATTTGGTTTTCCCAATATAATTCGATCCTCAAATTGTCTCTTTGTGCCCCGCCTTACCCTATTTGGACCTGATATAAATTCTAGAACTGATCGCTTTACAACGGTGGAAAAAAATATTTCATTCATGTCAATTGCATTTTGCACCACCTCCTCGAGCATGGTTTGTTCTGAAGATAAATAAAAGTTATTTCAGTTGGCTTTTCTATATGCAGATCAATATTGCGAATTAAAAGCGATTCAAAATGTATAAAATATCCGATCCAATTGGAATAAAAAATAGCCTTGATACAACCATATGTTTCATGTAAATTTATATAAAAGAATATTGCACTGTATAATCGAACTTTGTGAAATCCATTTTTCCATTTGACGACATATCTCTTTTATTGGATTTTAATAGAATATATGAATGTGTTGCCATAAAGCTGAGGATATTGCTGTATAAAATACACAGCTTGGATTAAGGTTATTTAATGTGTAAATTTATTTGTATAGTATCGTTGTGCAATCTGTGAGGAGCAATCCTATGGATTATGTAAAATTTGAGATAAAAAATCGATTATTTGAGCACCTAAAACTTCAAGATTAAATTTTGAAATCATAATTAAAGCTTATTTAGCCCACTCAATGTACTCGGGAGATTTGAACACAAATCCACAGGTAAATTTATTTATATAAAAATAGGGTAGGAAAGCGCACAAAGGTCCAATTTGACTTTGTATTTCAAAGCTTTGAGCAAATATATTGTAAAAACGAAGGCAATTATACAACAACAAATATCACCTATCAAACAAACATCTGGCTATGTTCAGTAAAACTATCTAATTCATCATTAAGAAATGATTTTTTGTTATTTATTTAAGAAAAAAAAATTTACTCAATCGAGCTTTATCTCTGAATGCTCTCGACAATAAAAATAAATCCTTTTTTAATTGTGTATTTATAATTATAAATTCTCAGCGTTGAAACATATTTTAAAAAACAGTTCTTTATAGCCAAAAATTGTCACTACTATTTTTAATATGGTTGTAAGAAATAAATACATTTTCAGACAAATTATCTTCAGTTTCACTCCAGATGTAGTTTACAATTTCCGAAAATGAGGAACCAGATACGTTACCCATCTTCAAGGATAGTTAGATACTTGATATTTTCATAAACAATGAAATGAAATTCAATTCCAATATTGACTTAATTGTACTCAAGTTTTCTGATACTTTCGAAATCTATTTGGATTAACATTGTATAAAGCTGGAAAAAGCATAAAGTGGAAAATGAGAGATTTTTTTTTGTTCATTATACAGTAATTAGACTCATGAGAACTGTAATACTACTCAACTTCGAAAGCAACCCAGAGGGTGGACTTCTTTATATTTTTATTACCAGAATTTCCCTAATAGTGTAAATTTTAATGTAATACATCAACGCCGGAAAAGCATTATTTTTTAACTTCCCGTAGGGTAAGTTATAGTAATCGCAAAAAAATCGAAAATGAAAATTTTTATATATTTACGTTTCAGAGGTTTCTGAATATTTTGGCATACCTTAGAAAAAATGGATGTAGTGTGTGTGTGTGTGTGTGTGTGTGTGTATGTATGTATGTATGTATGTATGTATGTATGTAGTAGTATGTATGTATGTATGTATGTATGTATGTATGTATGTACGTGTGTGTATGTATGTGCGGATACAAATTTTCGTCGACGATTTCGGGAACACGGATCAACCGATTTGAATAATTCAAAAAACATTCGAATCGTATTGATAAGGAGACGTGCTGATTAGTTTTTGGCGAAGTCAGGTCTAGCCGTTCCAAAGATACGGGCAAAAAGTGCCGAAAACGGTAACTCAGTTTTTAAGAGAACGGGAGCGACCGATTTTAATAATTCAAAAAACATTTTACTTGTATTGATAAGGTGAAGAACCGATCAAATTTTCATAAAGGCAGGTCCAGCGGTCTCGGAGATCTAATGAAAAAGTAAAAAAAAATGCCATTTGGCGGTCAAAAATGATCATTAGACATATGCACATCAAATTATCAGATATTTTATAGAGATTTTAACAATAAGTATAATTTGGTTTACATTCCTATGGGTTCCGTACCAATGTTTACGCGTTAGACGTCGACGCGGCGCTTACGCGGTTTGATATTTCGTTTTATGCAGTTTATGCAGTTAAAGCAGTACGATTGCTTTCAAAAAAAGTTTAGATCTTTCAAAATATGTCAAAATAAAGAAAAACTTTTTTTTTTCAAAAAAAAAATATTAAAAAAAAAAAATTTTAAAAAATTTTTCTTTTTCAAAAAAAAGTAATTTTTGTCTAATTGTTTGTCAAAAATCTTATTTTTTCGAAGTAAATTTTTTTCAAAAATGTTAATCGTTTTTAAAAAAATAATAATTTTGGTACGGGAAGTTCCAGCAATTTGCCTTGAGGCACGATGCCTTAATTGC